GCTCCCCGCCTCTGAATCGACCTCACCGCCTCTCATCCTTGTCACTCAGCACCCACTTCCAGTCACACTTAGTGCCTGGAACTCACTCAACTTCCATCTCCCTCATCTCAAAGGCCTCCCCAGGTCCACAGGGAGTGAGCCATAAAGTCTTGCTGATGGAACCCTGTAAGATAAGCCCCCAGCTGAGATGGGACAGCCTCAGGCACAGGTGAGTGGTGGCTGTAAGAGCAATGGAGCAGGGACTGCAAGGTGGACAGGAGCAAAGTAGCCCCACCCATTCCTTTACCCCAGCCAAGACCCCAGGCATCCTGGTAGCCCTGCCAGCCTGTGAATTCAGGGTCCCACCTTAGGCTGACAACAAAGTTTCAGTGTGGGAATGCCCCTCAGCTGTGTGGCTCAAGAGACACTAGAGATAGGCTCTCTACTGGGTCCTAAGTCTGCTTCTCCTTAGATAAGATATTTTTCCTGTTGTTGGGACTCCTTAACCTTATGCCTGTGGTCTGCTTTGGTTTCTGACCCACGGAGCATAGACACTTTTGTTTTAATTTGTACTTTTCAGTTTTAAAGACATAGATAACTAGAGTGAAAAAAATAACCTGATGCCAACAGTTTCTCTGGTCTGATTTTCATAGTTTCTGTTTAATGCTCTCTAGTTTACCATATTTACATTATTCTGCAACTTGATGTCTATATAAGAAAAAAATACTTATTAAGATTTTCAGGTTGTTTGCCTCCATCTGCAGATGCACACAAACTGATTACGGATTTGGGTTAATCTATGATTATCACAGGAAGCAGATATGCATGGCAAGTAGCTGAGAGCTTTACATCCTATCCCAAGGTAGAGAGAAACACTGGGTCTGGACTGGGCTTTTGAAACCTCAAAGCCCACCCCCAAGACACTTCCACCAACAAAGCTTCCTAATCCTTCCCAAAGAGTTCCACCAACTGGGGACTAAATTTAAATATATGAGCCTATGGGGCCATTCTCATTCAATCCACCACAAACAAACAAACAAACACATGTCTGAAACCTCTCAATACTAACTCCAGCTGTGTCTGCTTACCCACAGGTGGGTTTGTTAAATGTTGGTACTCCTTTAAGAGAGAAGGAGATAGGCAAGTTCATTGGGCCTTCATATGAGTTTCAGGTGACTTCTCCCAGATGGTTGAATGCAATTAGGACTTAATCACATAAGACCTCAAGGTTGGTCGGGCGATGGTGGCCCACACCTTTAATCCCAGCACTCATTCGAGGCCATCCTGGTCTCCAGGTCGAGTGCCAGGATAGGCTCCAAAAATACACAGAGAAACCCTGTCTCGAAAACACAAAAAACAAAAAAAACCAAAACAAAACAAAACAAAAGACCTCAAAGTTAGAGAAGCTAGGGCATACAGGCTAAAAACTAAGAGTGGGAAGGGGCCCACCTATGCAGCAATGAAAAAACTGTTACATGTGTTGTATAAAGACCCCAATAAAAATAGATATTGCCTAATATGCCCTTAGAAAAATGTTCTTACAACAAATGGTAAGTTTATTTATTACTGTTATTCACATAGTATTTAAAATTGCTTTAATCAGAAAGGTTTAGATATAAAGGTTATAATGGCTAACTAATTCCAGATCAGATGCCCTTCTTGGTTCTTGTTTACAAAAGACCCCCCCCCCAATCCCATTCCAGGCTTTTGCTGAAATGTAAACTTTCTTCCTCTCAGAATCTGTAGGACCACTGGTGGATGGAGGGGGAGAATTAAAAAAAAAAATTGTAAAATTTCAATCAGAAAAATAACTCAAACTTATAACAAACAAGGTTGATAGTTAACAGTCTATGCAAGGCAGTCTCAATTGGCTACAGTATGCCATGTACACAACTTGAATTTAACTCTTGTTGAGAGAAATAAAATTTAAAAATAATTAGATATAAAATGCCTTAGAAAATATGAGGCTATGCTTTTGGTTTAAAAAAAAGATTTAAATATTTTGGGTAAGGATGTTTTTTTGTTATGATTAAATAAAATTTTGCCAAAAAATGATGGGACTTTAACTATGATGTTTGTTTGATGATTAAAGTTTATAAATTCTTAAGTTTAAAAAGGTCTATTCATGCTAGCAAAAAAATTAAAGATGTTTTTCTAATCACTTGTATCTTTGATAACTTTGTTAAGTTTAACTATTTGGAGAGACACGGGAGGCAGCATATCAAAAAAACTACAGTAAAAATTAATTATATACCTTTTATTCTTATGTCTCCTTATGAAAGCTAATCTTATAGTTCTCTCCTGTAATTATATTCACATATAATTTTATAAATTGCTAAAATTATCTACTTAATAGAAAATATTCCTTAAATTGATTTAGATTTTATAAAATTGTACTATACAAGGATCAAGAAAATGAGGTCCCTAGTTTCCCCTTGGACTGTATTTACAGTAAAAAAAAATGTATTTTGGTACTAAAAGAACTTTAGTACAAAACTATAATTTAAAGGCTTAAAATCTTAACATAAAATTATAAAATCATAATTTTATGAGAGTTGCTAGTCTACTGTAAGCTGTTACAACAAAAAATAACTAGGACATAAATGTTAATTACCAGCCACCTTATAATTAATCAAATGTCTTTAATGTGCCCCAAATTTGTTTACAGTCATGTTAATCACAAATCTAACTCATTTAGAGAGACAGGATTAGAGGGAGAAATCAGTGTATCTCCCATTATATAGTCTTCTATAAACGTTGTCGAAGTTAAGACTAAAGCAAGTTACTCAAAACAAGTTTAAAGTAGTTTGTTTAATATAAAATGATAGTCAAAATCAGGTGTATTTTTCTGTTGTTAAATTTACAATACACTTATACAACAAGACATCCCCAGGCTCAAGCAGTTCCCTTCCCTTTGAATGGACACAGAGTAAATTTCATGCTAGCATCATTACAGGATAAGAATGCATGGGAAAATAAAACTTGTCCAAGTCTTCTTCTCCTGGTGTGTAGGGCCAGAACAAGGAACACCTCCTCCTTATCTACAGGGGAGATGGATTCCCTCATGTCTCATGTGACAGGGGATGGATTCGCTCCCCCAGTGGAGAGGATCTTAGAGTCTATACTATACCCACATGTTAAATATTTCAAGCAATAGAGAGGCAAACAGAAATCACTCCGCCCACAATGTCTCCTAAACTGACATAGAGGATGCAGTGAACAGGGAAACCTTGTGTACCCAAACCTACCATCCGACTGGAATGAGACCTGCATACTAGTTCAGTTTGCTGTGACCATGACCTTGACTTTTGGTTCTCTTAGCAAAAGCTAATCCCCAGGGCTAAGAGGCAATTACTTGATGTGTAGGAAGACCCCAAGAAAGTTTTAGATGATGTAAGATAGAACCTCCGCCACAGGGCCATCAGCATGGCAGGCTGAACTATGTACACTTGTTTAAACACTAAGCTGCAGGTACCATGCTTGAGAAGACCTGGACTATGACAGTCCACCGTGACTGACAGCCTCTGAGTCACCTTCTACAGGAACAGCTTCTTCAGCACTGCTGCCACTGGAAGCCAACATGTCTCCACAGGGCAGATGCTTGGGGAATTCAACAGGGGACATTTGGGGATAGGGATAGCTGTGGCCTTTCCTCCTTTGGACTCATGGTAATATCAGCCGTAAAGCTTCCTATAGGACTAACTAGACACAGTGGTTCCCTAAGAATGGGGTCTGCCACAAAATTTTACAACCTGCTACATCTATTTGTGGGAAATAGAAAAGATAAAATCCACGGTCGTTCAATTAAAGCTGTATTTGGAGGTGCACCCAGGACTGGCCGGCCAGCCAGCCAGCTATCTCACCCTAAGTTGGGATTTGAGGGCGCTGTCTCTGCTGCCTCTTGAAGTGTCTTTTATAGGAGAGATAAGGCGTGCACATAGGCAAGAGTTGACTGTTACACATGGTTGGAAAAACATAATGAAAGGGTAGGAACAAGGGTAAGGATATATATCATGTGAGTGCAAGCAGTTTATATCAGAGCTAAAAAACCAGGAGCTTACTCAACTATAAATAGAAACCTTACCTCTCAAAGACTTAACACAGGACAAACAGGAACTTACTCTTAACTACAAACAGAAACTTAGCAAGGACTTAACACAGGACAAACAGGAATTTATTCTTAACTACAAACAGAAACTTAGCAAGGACTTAACATAGGACAAACAGGAACTTATTCTTAACTGTCTTAGCTGCAAACAGAACCCTCAATCATCAAAGTCTATTGTTCCTGTTTCGGTCTCCCATTAACTCCCAGGGTATTTTGTTCCTCTCTTGATCTCACACAAGATCACAAGCAAACCAAGTAGATGAGTTCAAGAAATGCACAGTGTTTACAGAAATCCCCTTTGCAGTACGGTGCCACCCCCCACATGCGATATGCCTCTTGGCTACAGAGTACAGCAGATCTCCAGAGACTTTCAGGGGCCTCTCCGAGAACAAAGACTGGACAAGGCTACTCTCTAAATGACGTGTCCCTCCCACTCTTCTCTTAAGGTGCAATCCATGGATTTCATATGTTCCCCAGACCTCTGTGAGGAACTTGTGGAGGGGTGTGGATACAGGGTGCCTGTCTTGAAAGCTAAGATGCAGAAGATACAGATGAGGGGAGGTTTTCAGGCAACAGAAATTGCACAAGTCTCAATCTGCTGATTCTGAACCTCAAGACAATCAGGCCTGACACCATTTCAGAAACTGGCTAAGGAGCTGCTCAAGGCGAGGCTGTACCACACCAAGCTCTTTTTACTCAGACAGTGACAACGGAGATGGGAAAGGGTTCTGTAAACTCCTACCCCAGCAGCCCTGGAGGAAGGCAAGTCTTTACTCAGCTCAGACTGTCCCAAAGACCATGACTGTGATGATGGCATTAGAACTGAGGTTGTGACCAGACTGACAGGGGGTACTTGATGACCAGGGGAAATACTAGGAAAGGGCACTCAGAACAAGAAGGAATTGTGACCTACCAAAAATACCACAGCCTCTGTATGGAGAGGGCCCGCACACAGCACCTGGAACCACAGCAGTCTTCATAGGAACGGCATCTGCAGGAGAGAGGGTAAATTCTGGGTAAAAGGGGTAGTTTTTCTCATCGTGTATCTCCTTCCAGGTTCACTATAAGCATAAGCATTCTTTTTTTTTTTTTTTTTGAGACAGGGTTTCTCTGTGGCTTTGGAGGTTGTCCTGGAACTAGCTCTTGTAGTCCAGGCTGGTCTCGAACTCACAGAGATCCACCTGCCTCTGCCTCCCGAGTGCTGGGATTAAAGGCATGAGCCACCACCGCCCGGCTAGCATAAGCATTCTTACAAAGAAAAATCATAATGGATTCCTTCTGGGGAGTCTTCAGGACCAGAAAAGGCAGTAAGTGTATCAGATGCATGCTCCAAGGGTGCTCTGCAATACCCAGTAATAAGAAGGACTTGTCTTATGCTGTGTTTAACCTCTGACCACGGGAAAGATGGGACTGCCTCCATATGCCCTCGCAAACTAATAGCAAAGGTTACAGAGTCAAGTAAAGAGAAGAGGCTTAGTTCTGGACAAGCACCTACTAGCTATATGATTTCTCTTATTAAATTATCAGCCTTAGCTTCTTTAATAGCAAAATAGATAGAATGATGGAGACCTTCAAATGCTGATTTGAGGGCCTCATCTTTGTATAAAGACTATGTCTGCTCAGGTTCCCCCTTCCCTCAAACCTCTACATACCCAAGGCCTCTGGCAGGACCCACACTCATGAGACATATTCAGCAGCTGTCCTAACTCAGAAGAGCCAACCAAGAAATCATTTCTTACAAACACTGATCTAAGTGTTTTGCCAAAGTCTAGTAACATATGCAAGATGCAAACAGTTACAAAATAACACTTAAGGGCTGCTGTACCACCTCTTTGCTCTGGTTACTGTCTGCTGAAGTGAACAGGAATCAGCAACCGCTATCTGATGCCAGCCACAGGGGTTCCCAATTCAACCTGGAACCTTGTGTTGGCTACAAATAGATACCCAGAGAAGCCAGAGTGAAGTTGGCTGGGATGATGCCTAGCCCTTACAGTTAACCTGACGAAACCTGAATTGCCTAGGAGGCAAACATCTGGATGTGTTGTTGAGGATGGGTGTTAAGCTTAACTGAAGCAGGGAGCCCTGCCCTGAATGTGAGTGGGCCACTTCATGGACTGTGGTCTCAGATCAGAAAAAAAGGGAAAGTTAGCATAGTACCTACTTTCATGCCCGCCGCTTCCTGAATGCAGGTGCAAAGTGACCAGCTGCCTCATGCTCCTAGCACCACAGCTCTGGCCATGCTCACTGCTGTGACTTCTCACCGAAATAAACCCTTCCTTACTGAAGTCCTTCTGTTGGGTATTTTTTTTTTTTTTTTTTTTTACACAACAACAAGAAAAGTAAGACAGTCAGGAAGGAGGTTAGTAGTTTCTGGAACACTATCACTTTGAATACAGTGCTAACAATGAGCTGGCCGCCTTCTCTATTCCCACCTGATTTAACTCTTATCCCTTCTGCTTAGAAACTGGAAAAATAACAGGAAGGTGGCACGATAACCCTTATGCCAATGTCAGGAGATGCCTGAGCTGAGCCCATAACAGGAATCAGCAACCGCTATCTGATGCCAGCCGCAGGGGTTCCCAATTCAACCTGGAACCTTGTGTTGGCTACAAATAGATACCCAGAGAAGCCTGCAGTATTTATGTTAAAAAGCTTGCTTTAGTTAGCAGGTAGCAATCATTAAGAACGGAAGTACGATGCCGAGTGACACAAGGTACAGACAGGTATGCTGTTGGTTTGAGGCGAACCAACAATACACTTACAGTAGGTATTTTCCAGCTGCTATAATCTCTGTGATTGTAACTAACATTATGAAGGTGAAAACTGACTTGAAAAGGTCAGATGTCCTCTCTTATTAAAAAAATATTTTCTGAAACATACTTTTGCCATATACAAATGTGTATGCAGTAGTCTGTAACATAAATCATATTTTCATAGCAACTTTTGGGAACATCCCAAACAAAAAAACAAACAAAAACCTGAATATGTTAAAAATGCTATTGTGTTCAAAACTGTCTTCTGTCATCCCCTTGGCAGTTCTGGGTAGCCCCAAATCCCAGCCTCTGGGCTCTGAGGTGAGTTTCTACTGTCAGTAGTCTCAAGCTAAGATCTTTAGGTCACTCACATCCTCTGGGTAAAACAAAGTTGGCCAAATGGCCACTTTTTGCTTCCAAATGTATTATTTGATAACCTGCAATGATTGATTTTACAAGGTATAATTCTCCCAAAGGTACTGTGTTCACCTGCTACAGATGAGCACTGTTTTCTGTCCTGACAGCACAGGGGCTGTGAGGGGACAAGGTGGAGCTCTTCTGAACCACTGCTCCCCTGCTCTTGTGCCACGCTTGCAAGATGGTGTCTCTGAGTCTCCTTCTCCGGGTTTTACACTCAGCTCTAACAGGAGCCATTCTTCTCTCCTGCCAATTAGAGCATTGTGTATGTGGCAACAATAAATCATAATCTCATTCTGTTGTCACCTTGCTGATGGGGTCCGTTCAATCCATAACTTGATATAAAAGATATGATAGGTATACATTGATACATTTAATGATCATACTGTTTTTCAAGAACTGCATTTGCTAAAATGTTTCACTGTTAACCCTTATAAGGAAATAGCCCTTAACCTAAGCCTTGACATCCTACAGAGGAAGCAGGATGATGGGCCAGCTTATGATGGGGGATATCCTTCTGTATCTATGTTTCTCTGATTGGTTGATGAATGAAACACTGATTGGCCAGGTCCAGGCAGGAAGATAGGCGTGGCTACCAGACCAAGAGAAGGCTGAGGAGAGGAAGACAGAGAGGGGCCACTGGAGACACGCCATGCTGTGGAAGGAGTTACATGCCAGATTACAGATAAACCACAGCCTCATGGCAATACACAGATGAATAGAAATGGGTTAATAAGAACCCCTAACCATCGGCCAACAGTTTCATAATTAGTATATAGTGTCCAAGTGTTTATTTGGGGCATATCGACTGTGGGACCAGGCTGGAAAGAAACTCCAGCAACAAGCTTATATACAAATTTACAGCTCTTTGCCTAGAATTCTGGGAGCTCTTATATATTGAATATTTAAATATTTAGGTAACTATTACCTGCATTTGTTAATATAAAACACATGTTCCACTCAGTCTGAAAACACATCTACTCCAGAAAATCATGAGCACAGTGAGTTGTGAGTTCTTAACTCAGATTCTTCCTTTTAGCAAGACTGAGCATCCAAGTCCAAGTTAAGTTTTCAGTTTGCAAGTATCAGCTGCAAATACACACTATCAAATGACTGCTTTCTTCTCTGAAAACACAAGGCATTCATTACGCTTTGCTAGACATCCTTCTGCTAGACATCCATTGATTTCTAAGCATCCTTAAGACTACTCTGCAGCTCTGGCCTGACTCTCAGTGTCAGATGTTGGCTAATGTTTTCCTCTCAAAGGAACACACTCTTACCCAGAGGTTAATACTCTTACCTGCTTCCTTCTACTACTTCCTTCCCATAAGGCTGAGGGTATACTGGAGACCGAGGCACACCCTGCTGCCATTTTAAATGGTACCAATTATAAACAAAATGTTAACTACAACCTTGAGTTCAGTTAAAAGCAGGAGATATTCCTGGGTGGTACAGTATACTAAATAATCCCATCCTCCAACACACTCCAAGTACCCAATGCCTGGAAAAAGCATTTGTGTTCCAAAGGAAGTCATTAATACTAAACTGGGTACAGAACAGATGGTGACAACAGAATGGAATTTCCGTCTCATTCTACTGTGGACCAGATACACAAATTCTCAGAACACCATTCTTACCCAAACTCACTGGTAAGCACTTCTAATTATATGGGCCTGGAGCTTCTGTCTGGCAAGAATGGACAACCGAAATTGCTTTCTGTTAGACAAGGGCTTCTCACTGTGTTCTCAGATCCAAATATAGATAAAGATGGAGAACGGGGCACATCACCCTGAGCAGGTGTTAATCTGTAATTCAGGATATTCCAAAGATACCATCAGGGTGTCTAAGTTTCTCTCTCTGGATAAATGATAAGTGGTGTAGTCCTTTTTAAAGATGAGAAATAAGTATGTGTCATTATTAGCACTGCCCAGAAGTGAAGAGTGTGCGTCCTTTAGACACATTTATTCTACAAATCTCAAGAATAGAATAGAGGTGGACATATTAGGTCAGAGAATGTTCAATGTCAATAAAATACAAATAGTTCTAGTTTGAAAATAGCCTTTTGGGCTTGGTGTGGTGGTCCAAGTCTTTAATCCTAGCACTTGGAGGTAGAAGCTGGGAGATCCTGTGATTTCTTAGACAGCCTGGTCTACATAGTGAGTTCTGGGCCACTCAGCACTATATAGTGAGACATCTCAGGAAAACAAATTTCTTTTCCTTTTGGTTACTGTGAGGACTAGCTGGACTTGTCCCCTCCCCTGTTTCTGCTGCAAAATCCATATTCAGAAATGCTAATCCCAAATGGGATGGCATTTGAAGGCAAGCCTTGAAAAGCTATCAGGTCATTAAGGTGAAGCTCTTGGGAATGAAATTAGTGCCTTTATAAGGCCAGGCAAGAGACAGCTTGGTTCTTCTCTGTGCTCTCTACAGGGAAGATGGCTGTCTACAAACCACACTGGATCAGCTGGTACCATCTTGGCTTTCTAGCCTTAGGATTAAAGAAATAAAAATGTCTGCTGTTTAAAATCAACCCTGAAATTGTTATTGTAACACAACCCCAGGCAACTATTAAATAGTTATTAGTTAAAATATGTAGGAATTTAACTTTGAATGTGGTAAAGCAACTATGAGTTCAGGGTGCAAGGCATAGAGATCTTGACAGCTGTAAACTGCTGTCATCATGGGGCAGTATTAGAAGACAGGATATGCCTAATAATTAAATTTTATAATCTTATCCTTTTATGTACTATTTAACTTAATATCTCATTCTCAGCCAAGAACAGTAGCATATTTATGGAGCCAACTAGTTAGGAGCCCAAGG